TTGGGTATTATTGTTTTGTAGCATTTGTTTAATAACACTGTCACGTATATAGTTTGGTACACTTTCAGGGGAAGGTGTTGATTGTGTTATAGGGTAATCATATTAGGAAGGAGGTGGTTGATGTTTAATCATGTATCTAAAAAAAGCATAGAAAAATGACAATGGCCACAACAGCGGGCAAGGTGTTCTCACTGTCAGTGCGATCAAATTGTTGACGCGTTTCGGGGACAAATCCCTTTCCTCAGAGCTGATGACCAACCTCTGATGCTGATGCACGATGAATGGAAAGTAAAGTAAGAGCCCTGCTGTTGATGCCTCCCAATCACAGCCTGGCTCTGGAACACACCCTCTCCCAATCACAGTCTGCCTCTCGCACACACACCCTCCCAATCACAGCCTGGCTCTGGAACACACCCTCTCCCAATCACAGCCTGGCTCTGGAACACACCCTCTCCCAATCACAGCCTGCCTCTGGAAAACACATGGATCAAAATTCATCCAGTTCAGCAGGAACTGGCCATATTTCAAAACACATATGGGCAGGCTGGTTGTACAGACATCAATTTAACGAGTGACTTCTATACAACCAGCCAATTGGAAAATTTCTGCACAATCAGTGCTGTCAGCTATAGTCGGCAGAGCTGATCAGTGTATTCTAATGGAGGGGAAGTCTCCCATATATCAGAATACAATAGATCAGCAGGGAGGATTATTCCATCAACATGGACTGTGTGGATGGGGGAATCAGGTCATTCTTTTTTCGTTCCACCTGCTGGTTGGAGAAGAAAAAAAATAAACAAAGAATAAGGTATGGGCTGCCTGAAATGGGAATTCAACTCTATATTAATGCCACTTGCAAACACAGAGTTTTTTCCTCCAGGAAAGGAAGAGATATCAGGGAGATGGTTTAAAAAAGAAGATATCCAATTGAGAGATGTATTGGTAGAGGGGGAATTGAGAACATTTAAAGAATTAAAAGAGAGGGGGGGGGATATGTTTAATAGAATAGATGAGTGGAAATATCACCAATTAAAATGTTTCATTGGAAATCTCCCAAAACCTTTGAGATTAAAAAAGGAGTGGAATTTGTTTGAAAGGCTATTAGAAACACGTAGGGATGGGAAACACGGTGTTACAAAAATTTATAGGATCCTCACAGAATTAGACACGGACACAAAGTTAATTTTTATAACAAATTGGGAAAGAGATATGGAGGTGGTGATAGATGAAGATCAACAGAATAAGATATTTAGATTGGTACACGAGAGTGTTAGTATGAGAGACGTCGAGATCAACTATAAATGTCTGACACGATGGCATATTACACCGAGCACTGAGCACAAGATGAGTGGGGAGAATTCAAAAATGTGTTGGAGAGGATGTGGGGAGGAGGGCACGGTGTTCCACATATGGTGGCAATGTCCAAAAATTCAGGTTTTCTGGAAGACAATAGTTAAATTAATAGAAATAATAACTGGAAATGACATAGGGTTAGACCCAACCATGTGCCTCCTGCATAATGTTGAGACAACAGTAAAGAAATATAAAGAATCAGGCGTATGGTATTACCTAAGTGCTGCAAAAGGGTTGATACCTAAGTTTTGGCGGAAGACAGAGGTGCCGATGGAGGAGGATTGGATTAATAGGGTAAACCAGATTAGCAGAATGGAAAAATCATACTATATGCAGGAAGATAGGTTGGAAATATACTATTCGCGATGGGAAAAATGGGAAAAATCAGGAATGAAAGATTAATATAGAAAATTTTAAACTAGGAAATTAATTAAAGTTAGTGGGTCTTGAGAGATTGGTGATCTTGCAGAGGGGAGGGAGGGGGTGGGGGGTAGAGGTGGGTTGGGAGGGGAGGGAAAGAAAAGAGGTAATTAGAAGGGGGCAAAGTAGAAATGTTTTGATTATTTGTACGTTTGGTCCTCTTCTTATGGAAATTTTGTAATACTATGAAAAACTAATAAATATTTAAATTAAAAAAAAATAAAAAAAAAAAAAAAGGTATGGGCTGCCTAACTGCAACAGATTCACAAAAACAAGTTACTTAACCCCTTGGCACCCATGCTTTCCAGCCCTTTGAGACTGGGTTCACACTAATGCAATGTGGGACACCGCAAGTAATTCGCACACGAATTGCATCTCATTCCTGTGCAAATTACATGCATTGTCTGTGCGGTGCGATTTGAGCCATACATTTTGTATGGGTCCAACTGCATCGAATCCGCACCAAAAAGGTGTAAGACCCTTTTATTTTTACCTGCACCTAAATTTCTGGCAATCGCATTGCTCTTTGCGATCTGCTTCAGGGTGTCATTAATTTAAGATTGACACCCGCATCACATTGCATGAATGGCATGCGATTGTAATGCGGTGCGGGAAATGCACAGGATTTGCAGCGTTTCCAGCACCGCATCAGTGTGAACCCAGTCTAAGGGGTTTTAAATGCTGGAAGGCAAGGCAAGGTTGTGATCATGTGACTGCCGTGATTGGCTGTCACAGCCTTCATGTGATCAGAAAGCTCCCGATCGGGAGCGTTCCGTTAGCCGCCACTCTATCGGGAGCGAGCAAGGTGCGTGCGCTCAGCACAGCTCTGTTTTTGTTTGGGTAATCATGCGGCCTCTTGGTGTTAAGGCCCACCCGCCAAGAGGCCACATATATGTGTGCAGCCAGCAGGAAGGAGTTAAGAACACTGTATACACTGGGATAGGATGCCAAATGTCCTGAAAAATAGATTTTGAGTTTCCAATTGTAGAAATAGTAAAATAAGATCCGATTTTACCATAGTGAGGATTCAATTAAACTGGTTGTAAAGGCTGAAGGTTTTTTTTTACCTTCATGCAATCTATGCATGAAGATAAAAAACCTTCAGTGTGCAACTCCAGCCCCCCCCAATACATACCTGAGCCTGATATCAATCCAGCTATGAACACGGGAGCCTTGGCTATCCGGGTTTCTCTCTCTCTCATTGGCTGAAACATTGGCTCCCACTGCTGTCAATCACAGCCAGTGTGGGTGGGGAGGCAAGGCCAAGCCATGGCTCTCTGTGTCTTGTGGATGCATAAAGCAGGGCTCAGGAGCGAGCATGCACCAGCACCCCCATAGCAAGCGACTTGCTATTGTTGGCACTGGCCAAGGGGGAGGAGCGTTGGTGGGGGACCCAAACAGAGGAGGATCGAGGCTGCTGTGGGTAAAACTACTACACGAGCAGGTAAGTGTGACAAATTTGTAATTTAAAACAACAAATCTTTAGTGCCCAGTTACACTGGTGCGATTTGCAAAGTGAAATCGCACCCAAAATTGCTTCAAATGAATGTGAATGTCAGTGTCTTAACATGTGTGATTTGCTGCAGTGCAATTTCCAAAGTAGTTCTTGCATTACTTTTTCTGCAGTTTTGTTGCCATTTCACATACATAGAATATAATGGAAATCACACAGCAAATTGCAAGAAATCGTTGAAAATCTTTACAAGTAGCAATAAAGTCTTCAGAAATCGCACCTGAAATTGCACACAAATGGAGCGATTTTAAATCGCAGTGGTGTGTCTGATGACTTAATGTCATTAGTTTTAAGATATTAACCTCCCTAGCGGTCTGATTATGTCCATATTTCTGTGCTCAAAGCGGTACATTTTTTTGCATGGAAATATGTATTTTTTTTATTGTAGGCCTGTAATTTTTAGGAATAACTCACTGAAATCTGTCCGAACAAGAGTCTAGTAGACATCCCGGGTATGATAAAATTTGAAACACGAAATCCTAAATTATAATTTAATAAATAATCATAAAAAATAATATAATAATAAATTTATTTCAATAATATAATCAAACCAAAAACACTGAAATTTGAAGTAGAGCGCCAAGTTCGCACATCGCTGAGCAAAGTCGCAAAATCGTTTTCAGTGTCTGATGACAAATTTTCCCACGAATCATTATCACTCAATTCTGCAAGTAGTTCTAATTTACTATCGCTGTTCTCTAGCTGGTCTAAAACCGATTTTGACCTAAAGGGACGCTTTTTGGACGCCATGGACGTTTCTCAGTTTCCAGGCAAAAAGAACAGTAAAAATGCAGGCAGGGCACAGGACAAAGCACTCGGGACAAAATGTATGTGAAATGGTTTGATACAGTAATGTTTTACTATGTGATTTTAGTGAATTTAGTGAATGTCACAATATGTCATTTTCAAATTTCCCGCCGTTCCGTCCCCTATACGCCCCGACTTCGCAGGGGACGGAACCCAGATGACAGATGCTGGCATCCACCGGAGGACATTGCAGGGGACACTGCAGGAGGGACATCGCAGGAGCGAAGGACAAGGTAAGTGACCGAGGGATCCCGGAGCAGCGCTGCATGTTATTCCCAAGTGTAGCTCGGGGTTAGCGCTTTTAAGACTGAAACTTTACCCCGAGCTACACTCGGGAATACCGCCAGGGGGGTTAATAAGGGTGAGTGCGTCTGAGAGACACTTGTATGGTGATCCATTTATAGATCTCTTAGAACAAGCAAGTTTGGAAACGATGGGAAAAAAAGATCCGCTGATCAGTTATAACTAAGGGCTTGATAACATGTGGTTATGGAATGGTAAAAGTCCAGAGAGAACGTTTTTACTGCCCCCCAACTGCTCCCACCTTCAGCTGCAGAGGCGGCAGCCAGGGTTGTACAGATGGTTTGCAGCTGCAGCAGGAATTATACCCCCTGTTATTTTTGGTGGGTGTAGTACCCAAGTACCCATCGAGCGGGACCCATTCAAGTAAATGGGGCTGGTCTGCAAGCACCCTGCAACCATGCGCAATACACATGGTTGCAGTGCTTTAGTGCAGGGTTCAAAGGGTTAAAGTAAGCACTACAACACCTCCTCACTGCCTGTCAAATGGTCTGTGAAGAGTGATCCGAATACAGATCACTCTTAAGAGGTCAAAGCACATGTGAACTAGCCTTAAACCATTTAACAAGTGCATGGGAAAACATGACAAATTAGGAAAATATTTCACCTTTGTGGTATGTAAAACATATGCTGGGGTGGGGGCTTGTAAAGCACCCCGTTGTATGCTGGCCAGAGACCTCCCAAGATCCGGAAGAGAGAGCTTTTCCCGCAGCCATTGGGTCCTGTGATAAGCAGGTGCATCCCCTCCTCCACCTATAACAGAATGAAAGTGACACAATGAAAGAACAAAAACAGTGACCATACCAGTACTAAAATACTTCATTATATTTATAAAGCTGAACTCTGGGCACAGAAGAGTTCATTTAAATGTCTTCTCAATAGCCACAAAGTAGATACTTCTACTTTGTGTGCACCAAATGATTTTGCAATGCCAGATATTACCTTCTAAAAGTAGCTGTAGCATCATCACTGTGCTGTATTATGCCCTGTGCAGAGAGCAGAGCTGTGGGAGTGGTCCAGCAGGCCCCTCCCACCACAGGCTGCAAAAAAAACCTACAGGAGGGGGCTGAGACAAGACCAGTCACTGTGCACAAAAAGAGAGAGCAGCAGTGAGCGGTCTTTATTACAGGAAGGAAAAGTCTCACACTGGATTACTGCACAGATCTGGAAGAAAAAAAAAAGCACACCAAGATTTAAGTAAGAATACACGTGCCTCTTTTATTTAGAAAAATACAAAGCATATCAGCTTTAAAAGAGATGCCCATTCAGAATTAACATGCTCTATGACTAACGAACCCAAAGTGATGAGCACTTTGTCACATCCCAGTTCAGAGGTGTCATTTCCCAGCTACTGTAGATGGATAAGTAGCTAATCACGTGCAGTCTGTGCTTGATTAGCTGTATGTAGGGCAGGGGAGACATTGGATCTCTCTGATGTCTCCATAAAGAGGACCTGTCACCTGCCCACCTTATCACATAGGGAGCTTGTTCGCTCCCTTGTGATGGCAATACAGTAAATAAAAAAAGTGTTAAAAAACTGAACTATAATAAATAAAAATGAAAAAAAAAATAGCGGTAAATCCATTGCTCCACGCACACCAGAATGCAAATGCAGATTTTATCATGTGTACGAAAAATTACAAAGTTGTCCCAGACCCAAAGTGGTTAAAAACAGAAACATAATTGCGCTGATAGAAAATGGTTTTATTGTTCCCTCTCAAGTTGTACAAACACACATTGTTTCTTCCAGCATCTGTTAGTGAGAAGCTGCATTGGATAGAAGATCAAAGGAACTTGTGATGGTCAATTGCCACAAATTGTCGCTAATTCAATTAACAATTAGTTCTCTTTGTAAGATCCTTAAATAGCCATGGCCATTACTGTTCCACTGATGAAGGGGATAAGCTCCCCTGAAATGTGCTCCAGAATAGCACAGCCACTGACAGACACCGCGGTGGAGTAGGAGGAAATAGAAGAGAGGCCCATCTACGCTGGTCCTTATGCTGGTAACCCACGTTTCTAAGAACACCATCTCTTGCTCTGTTTGGATACTTAGGCCAGGAATCCCTGTCTCTGCTCACTGTGCTACATTGAAACATCAACGAGGTCCTTCAACACCCAGCCACAACCATCTCTACCTGCTGCCACACGCATGACTCCTCGATTGGTTCAGGGTCCTACTTCTACCATCCACCACAAGTCATGTTCCTGGCCCCATTCTAACCTCTCCTTACTTTCTTGGCCTCCTCTCACTCCTCTTGGCCAATCCCTCACTCCTCTTGGCCAAACCTTAGTTTCCCAGATACCCTGAAATGCCCCCCTTACCTACACTGCTCCTGGCCCTCTTCCACTTGTCTTCTCAGCTCCTTTCATATGCAAAATGTGGGATAGGAGCACTGAATCCAAAGGGAAAATCATGCTTGATCTCCAGTTCTCTGTTACACTGGCCATAGATGGAACGAATCTCAGCCGGTTTAGCAGGGGCAGGCTGAGATTCGATCCATCTATGAGCAAGCTGGCAGGTACTGAAGTTGATCCATCGATTGACTTCAGTATAACCAGCCTGTTGAATTTTCTGCATGCGACTGCTATAACCGCCATAAAGTAATCATTGTGTTCTGCGGGCAGGGAAGACTCTCTGCCGGGAGAACACAATAATACTGCGGGACTGACTGTGTTGATGGGAATGGAGTGATTTACATTTTTGCAACCTTTGGTTGCAGGAAAGAAAATCACATCCCCTATGGCTTGCCTTATGCATATCCCCAAGGGTCTCTGGTCCAGTAAAAGTTGATTAATCCTAATAGAAAGCCAAGAGACAAAGCCAATGTGTTTTGGAGGCTCAAGGCTCCCCTTCATCAGAGCCTGTAAACAGGCTGTAATAGAAGCCCATACTGAAGCCTAACTGCATACAATTGTAAGGCAATGAAAGTTAAAATGACAGCAGCGTAATTTCTCACTGACAGCCCAGCTTATGGACACTAATAAAAGGGGAGTATGGAGAGTTAGCTTTGTCTAATTACTTTTATATGAAGATTAGTAAACTGTCAGGGTCTGGAATCAGGCTCAGAGGGCCAGTAACTATAGCAGTAGAGAGAACCCCACTGACCAGCTGGATAAGAACAGAAGGTCACCAAGGCAGATGACACAGACTCAACACCTCAGGTGAGCCCAAGTTCTAAACCGGTCTTCATCAGAGCTCCTGATGGTGGTGATGGGTTTTGCTGCATATTAGGACCAGGACGCAGTCCTCAAGATCGCTCCACCAGGAGGTGAGCAAGCCGGGGTCCAGTAGTAGATATAGCAGGTAGGAAAAATCAGAAGCGTAGTTACATAAATGCACAAAAAGGGAGGCAGGGATACAAAGAAAGATAAAGAGGAGGAGAATAACCCCCTCACTAATGAAAAGAAAGTAGGCGGGACTTTAAGGGTGCCATCAATAATGAGAAAGTTGTAACTAAAAAAAACAACATTTATTTCAAATCACTTAAAAGTCATAATACAAAAAATATACATTAGAGTATCTAAAACTTGGTGATGATACTTATTCAGTGCATTATTTCTCAACATGTTTCGCCTATTTTAAGGCTTCTTCAGGAGATATTAGACATAGCACCAGCAATAGCATGACTGGCTCAATTGTACACATTGTATGCAAGCCAATTAGTAGGTAGTTTAAATCAGCCTGGACATAAAGACAGCGCAAATGGTTGGTGAAGGAGCCCATAGACTAACTTTTAAAGGTGGAGCTATATAAAAAAAAAGATACCTGCTCAATGAATACTGATTATCGCCGCCATACTAATAGCATTACATCAGGGAAAGGAAAGTGACAGAAATACCGGTCCAAGTAGAACACTCAATCATGTAATTGGAAACACCCAAAGGGGGAAGTGGCAGCAGTAAATCAAGGCCACATAAGTGCCCAATCCTCAAAGGAGAGACACATGCACAGCATGCTCCAACGCCACCTCCCCATCTAACCAAAGCGTAGTTAGTTAACAAGCCAAAGGTCGGTAACAAGTGGTTGCAGCTTGGAGTCAAGCAGAAGCGTAGTCAGTAAGGTGAAGGTGCGGGTTGAATGGCTGCAGGTTGGAATCAAGCAGAATTTGAGGACCAAGCAGAAGTGTAGCCGGGGAGCAAGCCAAAAGTTAGCAATGAGTGGTAGTGAAGATACGGACGGCAGTAGGAGTGACAAGAGCGAGATATTGGCTGGAGAGAGCACAAAAATTTGGCAAACAGGAAGTACAGAGACATGGCTTAAATCAGGCAGTTCATGAGAGGAGCAAGGAGTTCAAGAAAACCATGCTTAAGGGCAAGATCATTCACAGAATTGTCCACGGAGCTGTCCAGCATCCTAAGTGACTTAGGAAGAAGAGACATTGCCAGACACAGCAGATTTCGCAGGTTCAGATCTGGGTCCTGACACTTTTACTGAGTTGAACCAACCCATGGTGCTCTTAGACCCTTCCACTGTTCGTGAAGAGGACAATTAACATCTCCATTCTACTGCAGCACAAGGTGTAATGGATTTGAGGTATTTAGCACAATTGCAATGTTTCTTGGACATCACAACCACTTCATCCTCCACCTTCAAAAAGACTGAGAACATCTTGGTGGCTAACAACTAGCACCATCCATAAAAGAGAAGGGCTTCCTTGAAAACGTTGACAGAGTCCCTTTAAGTCAAACAATAAATGTGTTACATGACCAACATGAACTTCTACCTATTAAAACAACTATATGTTGGTATACAAAGACTTGTGTAAACGAGGGCCAAGGTCACGGCTATTGTACCAGGGAGAGACCTACTCTACACTATTAAAGAGTATTGCCAACATGGCCCTGGTCTTTGGACATTGACTTTGCCCTCCCTCCTATCACTGGTGATAACAAGTCCAACACTTATCAAACATAAACTATGTCTTTGGAGAATAATATAGTAAATCCGGAGTCCAGATGATAATTTAATACTGCGTCCAAGTTTATCAATCGAAGGCAATCTTTGCCGCTAACTAAGTCAATTAAATGTAGAATGGAAGGCCTGATTAGCAGGGTGTAATCTGTTTATCTAGATTTCAGGAAGAGTTATCACAGAGAATGGTTTAGGTGGCCGGGTTCATCACACTAACGATATTAAATAGAGGAAAGGTGAAAGCTTTGGTTATTCGGGCTCATGGCTGGCTGTTCCAAACCTGATGAAAAGCATTTTTCAGAACTTACCCGAATATTAAGGCTCGCCACTACGACGTCTCCTGTTGGGGTGACTATGGGGATATTTTCACAGATGATTCCATTCTCCACATCCACCACTCGACCTGGTAAAAGAAGCACAGAACTGAAGTCAACCAAAAAATACTTTTTTTTTGTGTCTGTAGTTTATTTTTTATGTCCATATTTTAGTTTTTGTGTGTCTATTTTCTTTAAATATTTTTCCAACAAATATAAACAAGCACAAAAAACATCAAAAGTACCAAATTAAACCCAAAAAGAATACATTTCCACTGGTTCGGAAAAAAAAGTAAGAGAATAAAACAAATGTGTATAAGTAAGACTGATTGAATTCAAGCGGATCTTTCGGTATTCAGACTAGGCCTTGTTTGTACACACGGGGATACTTAAAGGGGAACGCCACTTTCGAACAAAAAAAAAAAAAATTAATACAGAATATACAATTGCTACATAAGTCATAGTGTAATTGAATAATTCAATGTTATAAAAAATTCCCTTTCCTTTTCAATCTGCAGCCGCTGTAAACATTTTCTGTAAAATGCAATATGGTAAACTGGAGGTGTTCTGTGCATAGAAGGTGGACACAATGTCCCTAGCAGGTGGGGGTGTTAAAAACACATGATTGAGAGAAGTTCTTAGGGCCCACCAACCACCCCCCCTTAAGCTAAAATGGCAGTGAAGGGGGGTATTTACATGCCGCTGTCATGATGCTTCGTGCGCCCACGGCAAAAACTATCCAACATATTCAGCCCCAAAAAAAAGCAGTTTCAAACTGTGGGGTCCAAAACCCATGGTGTTATTCCTACACCCCCATGGATGATACGTCTAGGGGGCACTAGACACCCACAGGCCCTCTGCCACCCCCGCCCTAATTCAAATCATGGCCATTTAGAACCCTCCACATCAGAGCAATACTCCCGCCCGAACCTTAACCAGTGGCCACTTAATTTAATTTCTTGCCCACGGGGAAGATCCCTCAGGACCCTCATCATACCAACAGGTATCCTATAGAACTAGCCATCCAAACCAGAGGCAAGAATGACACATAAATGACACATATGCTGGACACATAAAATTAGATGCTAAACTTGATCTTAGTCAAAAGAGCAAGGCATGTATACATACACATACTAGGGCCAATTTAACCTACTGGCATGCCTTTAGAGCGTGGGAGGACACCAGACAACTTATAGGAAACCCACACAAGCACAGGGAGAACATGCTAACTGCCTATAGATAGTATCCTGCCAGGATTCAAACCGAGCACCCCAGCGTTGCAAAGCAGGAGTACAAACCACTAAAACATTGTGCTTTTTTTCCATGTTTTTTATTATAGCTTACAACTACATACCCTGACTGTAGCCTATATTTTAAAGATGCTTTATATCAGTGTTCTCCAAACTGTGGCCTGAAGTCCTTTGCTTGCCTAAATGTGGCACTTGGGCAGTATTCCTTTCATTGATACAAGGCATTGTATCCTCCTACTGACTCCAATGATGAGGCACCATTCTTTCCAACGACACAAACAGTGGGATATAATATTCCTCTCATTGACAACAACAGTGGGGCTCTATTCCTTCCAATGGAACCAATGATGGGTCATAACTCCTTCCACTGATATAAATGTTGGAACATTATTCTTCCCACTAATACTAACAATGAGACACTATTCCTGCAAATGACACCAATGATGGGGGATTGTCCCTCCCACTGACACCAATGATGGGGCACTGTCCCTGTCCTTTCCACTGACACCAATGATGGGGCATTATTCCCCCCTACTGACACAAATTATGGGGCACTATGATGGGACACTATTCCTTCCAATGACACAAATGTTGGGGTACTATTCCTCCCACTAACAATAATGATGGGGTACCATCTCTCCCACTAACACCAAAGATGGGGACATATTCTTACAAATGACACCTACGATGGGACACTATTTATTCCAATGACATCAATGTCGGGGTACTATTCCTCCAAGTAATACCAATGATGGGGCACTATTCCTTCCATTGGCACCAAAGATGGCGACATATTCTTACCACTGATTCCAATGATGAAACACTATTCCTTCCAATGACTCCAATGTTGGGGTACTATTCCTCCCACTAATACTGATGATGGGGCACGATCTCTCCCACTGACACCAAAGATGGGACACTATTTCTTCCATTGACACCAAAGATGGGACACTATTTCTTCCACTGATACCAATGATGGGGCAGTATTTCTCCCACTGATACCAATTATTGGGCACTATTCCTCCCACTGACACCAATGATGGGACACTATTCCTTCCACTGATACCAATGATGGGGCACTATTCCTTCCACTGATACCAATGATGGGGCACTATTCCTTCCACTGATACCAATGATGGGGCACTATTCCTTCCACTGATACCATTGATGGGGCACTATTCCTTCCACTGATACCATTGATGGGGCACTATTCCTTCCACTGATACCAATGATGGGGCACTATTCCTTCCACTGATACCAATGATGGAGCACCATTCCTTCCACTGATACCAATGATCGGGCACTATTCCTCCCACTGATACCAATGATGGGGCACTATTCCTCCCACTGATACCAATAATGGGGCACTATTCCTTCCACTGATACCAATGATGGGGCACTATTCCTCCCACTGATACCAATGATGGAGCACCATTCCTTCCACTGATACCAATGATGGGGCACTATTCCTTCCACTGATACCAATGATGGGGCACTATTCCTTCCACTGATACCAATGATGGAGCACCATTCCTTCCACTGATACCAATGATCGGGCACTATTCCTCCCACTGATACCAATGATGGGGCACTATTCCTCCCACTGATACCAATAATGGGGCACTATTCCTTCCACTGATACCAATGATGGGGCACTATTCCTCCCACTGATACCAATGATGGAGCACCATTCCTTCCACTGATACCAATGATGGGGCACTATTCCTCCCACTGATACCAATGATGGGGCACTATTCCTCCCACTGATACCAATAATGGGGCACTATTCCTTCCACTGATACCAATGATGGGGCACTATTCCTCCCACTGATACCAATGGGGGCACTATCTCTCCCACTGACACCAAAGATGGGGCACTATTCCTCCCACTGATACCAATAATGAGGCCCTATTCCTCCTCATACTGTCCACAGGCACTATGTATTTTTTTATAGTCCCACTGGACCTCCTAAAGTGTGAAGGACAGTAAACTGACCCTTTGTCTAAAACGTTTGGAGACCCCTGCTTTAAATAATTCATATTTGCTACAAAGAATGGGAAAAAAAAAAAAAACGATCTATGAGCTTCACTCAGCACCTTCTTCCCTGGATAAGGGCCTCTCAAAAGCTCAAGTTTCAAAAATGCCACTTCAGCAAAAAGAACCTGCACTTGTCAGGTCTGGAACTTGAAAGGAATTTAGATAACGGCAGTGAAAGTGTCCTTACCTTCTACAAAGGTATTTAAAGGAGCACTACAGGGAAAGCTCTGTACTCTGGTAACTGACTGGGGTAAATACCTGGGATGATGGTGCTCCATACACAAGTTCCTTTTTTTATTCCACATGGCTTTATTTATATGTTTGTCATCCTTTACATGGTGACGTTAAAATGACAGTTACAAGGGTTTGCTTGTTGCATGTGACCCAACAAAAAAGAAAACAAAAGAGAAGAGAAAGGAGGGGATTCCCAGGGTATTTGGAAAGAGAGACTAATTTAGTAACTGAAGCAGGAAAACTAGAGGATAACCTAACAGGCAAAAGGGGACCCTATTATAGGAGTATACTATTTAATAACATATGGAAAAATAAAAGAACCCTATAGAAGACATGAAGAATAAGAGCATTAAAGGAAGTGAGCTTAAAGGGTCCCAATCAGGAACAATTAAAAAATATATATCGCAGGGAAATATAACCCCAGAAAGACCACAAAGCACAAACGGGAAAAGAGAAGGGGACATCAGTCTGGAAAAAAGTCCTAGATTATCATCGGGCTTGGATACCACTAACCAGCAGATATTGGAAACAGCGGAGGGGAAAGAAATGGAAAGTGACCTACAAGCACCAAACAAAAAAGAGATGGCAGAAATGTTTGAGGCCTTAGAAAAGATAATAAAGAATGAAATGGCAACTATACGGAAGGATCTGGGGCAGGTGTTGACAAGAGTGGAGGAAATGGAAGGAAAAATAAAATATCAGGCCCAGAATATATCTCAATTGCAGGAAAAAGTAAAAAATATGGAGAAAACGCAAGTAAAGCTGCTGTATAAACTGGAAGTACAAGAAAATAGGGACAGGAAGAACAATCTAAGGCTGAGAGGAATCCCAGAGACTATAGAAGGGGAAATATTACAAAAAGAAATATGTAAAATTTTAAATTACATATTGAATAGAGCTGCGTCAGAGGTGATTAAAACAGATGGCGTTTGGAGAAAAGGAAAGTTTCAAAGTGGCGAGAAGGAAAAACCAAGAGATGTAATAGTCCAAATACACAGATATGGAGATAGAGAAAAGAGATATGGAGGAAGATTAAAGGGAAAAAAATGATTAAATATGGTGAAATGGACATTCAGATCTTTGCAGACCTTACACCAGAAACTTTGTGGAGAAAAAGAACTTTGAAACCACTGACAGAGCAGATGAGAAAAAAGGTGTTCTATAGATGGGGAACCCCAATTTGTCTGATTGGGTGGAAAAATGGGATAACAGCCTACCTGAGATTCCCAGAAGATATGAGAGACTTTTGTGAAAAACTTGAGTTGCAGAGGATGGAGATCCTTGGATGGGAAGAAGAAAAATAAAGGAGGAGAGGCAAGACAAGAGGAATGGCAGACTGTTAGAGGGAGAAAGTAGAATTAATTACTGTCCAAATAGAGATTTTCCTGAGATTTTCCCTAGGGGTGAAACCGCGGAATGTTAAAAGTAAAGAAAGAAATAAGATAACGGATGGGAAGAGCTGGGGAGGAGGGCGAAGGAGGAGGAGCGGTCCATGGACAGAGTTCAAACCCCAAAATAATAATCAACAGTGGTTCTTAGAACCACAAATGATTAGTAGGTATATTAG